AAACCACTATTAATGATGCCATTATTTTCTACGCTGATGGCTCCCTCATTTCCCCTTGATTTTTGGTCATTAATTACGCTAGGATTATGCCCATGATTAGGCTCCTCATTAATCACTTCCAGCTCAGCTTGATTCAAATCCCCAATCACCATTAAACTGTCATAACGTGATTTTGTATTTACTGCATTTAAAACAGGCTGATATGATTGCACTGATAACTGCTTTGATTGCGCAGTATTCTCCCCGAAATCACGTTGAGCAATTCTTCTCGAAGTCATCGGCGTTCTGCCATCTTGGGTAGCAGCTTGGCTTCTAGGGCGGCGTTGGCGATTAACCACCATCTAAGGGCCAAGACCGTTCCGGTTTTCTTCAACTTTATCAGCTTCACCATCCCCAGAAGGATGAGATTCATTCACCACGATCTGTTCTTGAACAATCTAGAACAACAATCCTTGCTATGGCCATACTTTCCACAGTTGAAACAAATGAGCCCTAGACCTTCATATTCTATATGCTTCAAAACTCCCTCAAGAACATACTCTCCTTTTAAAGGTTTAGCCAAATCCAGTTCAACACAGATCCTTGCAAAACGACCCCTAGCATGAAGGTTTGTAGTCCTATCAATCTTTATTAACTTCCCTATCTAGTTACCCACCCTACGAAAGAAAACTTCATCATAAAATTCCAATGGAATATTAGGAAGGCGGATCCAAGCTGCTATCTTTGATATGCCCTTAGCATTAGGCCTGAAGCCAGGTTCCCACTTACGTAAGGACAGATAATGACCTAGGACAACCCAAGGGCCTCCACTTAGAGCAAATTCCATGTCTTCATCATCACTAAATTGAACCACATAAAACTCATTCCCAATATCAGTGACGTTCACTTTTCCTTTCCTTCCCCATAGCTCCTCAATCTTTTTCTTCATGAACGAGACACCTGTAGATCTGCCCAGTAGCTTAACAATCAAAGCTTTTTCCCACACTCTATGCAAGCGTCTTCTTCCTCTCTTAGTGCAACCAAAATGAGTCTTTCCATCCTCTTCCACCCACATCTTTATGCCCCCAAAATTAACGTCTTCTTCCTCAGCTGGTTCACCCTGCAAATTCTCACCTTCAAGAGTATCAGCACCCTCCCCATCATTCTTCTCTCCATTATGACGTTGCAGCATCTCCTTCCATGAAATTCGACCCTCCTCTTGGTCCTTCATCCAGGATTCCTCCCTAGGAACCATTGATACATCATGTGAGAATTTTTCTCCACGATCTTTATTATGTTTATTACTTCGCTTAAGTATGTCTTCCTCCTCCGATGATCGCTCTGGTGGTTCTCTCACAGTTTTCTCCATCTCTCACAGTTTTCCTCCGATCAATATATGTTACTGTTTCTATATTGAGAGCGAAATCCTATTTGTTTGCCTCTCACCGGCACTAGCCGCTACCGAAAATTTTTCGGGGACCTTTTGAACCAAGAGGACTACAATTTGACTCTTTTTTTCCAGATCTATCAATTCACAGACGTTTTTTAAAAAAATACTATTCAAGCGCACTGTTCACGAGGTACTGTAAATCGGGGGTTGTTCATGCAAAAAAATGTTCCAGGATAGAACTGCTCAGTTTTTTTATCCTCTTTCCAGATCTGTGTTTTTTCTTCGGTCAAATATCAATTGGATTTGCATTTGTGTGATTTTCATCTCAACATTATAGCGGGTTCAAATGGTGCATCTTCAAAATTTATTTCTATTCGCCGAGATAAGTTGGAGCGCATTCGGACTATGCTTGATTCTATGAGTAAGCCATCTAGTACTAGTACTAGTACTTTGGCTATGACTGGTATGAGCTCCACTACTCATTCTTTCCTTACTTCTTGTACTGATTTTAAACATTCTTGGATTATCGATTCTGGTGCTACTAATCATATGGCTTGTTGTGCTGACTTATTTCTTTCTTATAACCCTACTATTGGCACCCATACAATAGCCGTAGTTGATGGCTCACATACATCAGTTGCGAGTTCTAGTAACATATATTTATAGCCTTCCTTACATCTCCAAAATGTTCTTTATGTTCCCAAACTCTCCACTAGTCTTCTTTCTATCCATAAAATTACCAAATATTTGAATTGCACTGTAACTTTCTTCCCTGCTCACTGTGTTTTTCAGGATCTCGCCACGTGGAAGAAGATTGGGGGTGCTAAGGAGCAAGGTGGGCTGTATTATCTGGTGCCAGAATCTTTTGCAAAGTATGCTAAGGGTCACACCTTATTGACTCAGTCTCAGTCTACTGCTGACTTTGATTTGGCTCTATCATAAACGCTTTGGGCATCCTCCATTTCGTTTGCTTAAGTCTTTATTCCCACCATTATTTTTGTCTAAGTATGTTGAGTGTTTTCGTTGTGATGTTTGTGAGTTTGCTAAACACCATCGTGTCTCTTTTCCTTCTAGTACGATTAAAAGTGTTGAGCCTTTTGATCTTATTCATTCTGATGTTTGGGGTCCTTCTAAAGTTCCTCATGCTTCTGGTAATAAATGCTTTGTTTCTTTCATTGATGATTGCACTCGTATAACTTGGGTTTATTTAATGCATGAAAAATCTGAGGTACCACAGTTATTCTTTTGATTAAATAAAATGATTGAGACCCAATTTGGTAAAAGAATTAAAAGACTAAGGTCCGATAAGACAATGGTATCGAATATGTCAATCAGCATCTTTCCAAATTCATCCAAGATCAGGGCATGATTCATGAACTTACTTGTGTGGACACTCCTCAACAAAATGGAGTTGCTGAGAGGAAGAATCGTCATCTTCTTGAAGTTGCTCGTGCCTTACTTTTTCAGAATCATGTACCCAAGTGTTACTGGGAAGATGTCATTCTTACTGCAGCTTTCTTAATCAACCGCTTGCCCTTTCGGATCCTTGACAATGTAAGTCCTATTTACTCAATAACTTCATTCTTTTCCTCTGTTCCCTTTATGCAGAGTCTTCAGCCACGAGTGTTTGGGTGTGTTGTCTTTGTGCACGTTCATAAATATCTTTGCAGTAAGTTGGATCCTAGGGCTCTCAAATGTATCTTCCTTGGTTATGCCCATGATAAAAAAGGCTACACGTGTTATCATCCTACTAGTTGAAATTTTTTTTCTCAATGGATGTCACATTTTATGAATCTGAGTCTTTTTTCCCAAGTTCTCATCTTCAGGGGGAGCAATTCTTCAGTAGATTCATCACATTCTATCTTTGAGTCTGAATCTTCCACGTCTTCTCCTACACCTCTTCCCCTTGTTTCTTATTCTACTCATTTGATACACCAAAAATACGGAGGATTGTGACACCTGAGTTGAAATATCACAGGAGAAAGCAGCCCACATTGCTTCACCAGCAACCTCAATCGTCTGAATCACTGGTATGTCTTGAATCTCTTGTTTTTTATCCTAATATTATTACTTTTCCTATTTCTGAACCTAATATTGTTGCCTCTAATGATTTACCTGTTGCTTTTGATAGCTTACCCAGTACCTCTGATGACTTACCTATTGGCTATTGCCCTAAAAAAAAGGAAAAGATCTTATACCCAATACCTTATCTCTCATTTTATCTTTTCTACTAACCTAACGATAGCAGATAGTGTAAATTACACTATATACTATCTAACGGTAGAATATAGTGTAAATTACAAAAGTCGCTTTCTTTCTTTCTCTCTCTAGTACAAAGACAGTCGATGTGGCACATTTTTATTGGTTGGTCGCACCTACACGGATTGTATTCTACATTTTTCTGTGGGTGGGGTGGGAATATGGTTAACTCGGCGAGGAATTTGGTGGCTATAGTTTATGCTGCATCAATACCGACACTAGATATGGGACACGACACAACACGATACTCTGATAATTAATTCTAAAAAATATTAGATTTTAACATGTTAGTACACATTTTGATATTAGATAATATTTTTAATTTATGTAGTGTAAATTATATTTAATATTCAATAATTTAACAAAAAGATGAAGCTAAACTTATTATACCCATCAATTTTATTAAAGAACATAAGATATTACAAATATTTATATTAAACTCAATAAAATAGTAATCGTAATCCAACGAATTTAATAGTTGGAACTAAAAACACAACACAACCTTATTTTTGAACCTTTCTTAAATCTCTACAATGCGTGTTAGAATATCAAACACGATATGTCAGATTTTTTGAAAGGACAATACATCATAGGCTATAATCGCTGGTGTAGATATCAAATTTAAATGACTAAAGTTGTTATACCATGTAGCGACTTTGGCCTTATCGGTAGGATTGGCAAAAACGAGCCAACCCTAAAAAATGAGCCTGGTTGGGTTGGCAAAAATGAGCTGCCAACCTGTCCCGAGCCAGTTCGGAAAAAAATGAGCCAACCCGCAGGTCAGATGGGCCAGCTCGCGGGTTGAGTTTTTTTTTTATAAAAAAATAAAAAATATAATATACAAAAATGGACAAAATTCACACATACTGTCATTGTCTTTCTTCCTTCTCTAAACTTAAGTTCCTAATCTTCTCATATTCCTGCCAACTCGCGAACTATTTTTTCAAGCTAATCCACAAGCTATATTTTTTAGCCAACTCACGAGTCAACCCTAACCCGACTCAAGTCGGGTTAGGTTGAATTTTTTGGCTCGTTTTTTTTTTCCAGCCAATCCTATTCCGACTTATTTTTTTCGAATTGTACGCGAGTTCGAAGATATCTTTAGAAAAGGTTTTAGCACAAGTGTATCCTATATGTACTCTAGTTTATTCGAAGTATCTCAATCGTGTAACGCCGTCGACTTATTGGGAAAAGGAGGAAAATCACTTTTCTCTCTTGTTTCGGAGAATTAAGTGGCTCACGAGTTGAGTAAAGTCGAACAGAATTGATCCATTGTACCAACCCCACTTATCAGCTGCTAAAAAGCAGCTAAAGGTTCCACAAAAGTTGCTACAGTATGTACAAAGCGACTTTATTGACGTGACACTTTGAATTAAAGAATTGGATATGTGATATTTGGATGATTTTTATTACAAAATGTGACAGAAAAGTCAATGTCGCATGGATTGCATCTGAACAAATCACATGATTCAGTGACCCACCATTAGATTCCAGCGAAGTACATCATCTATAACGACAAACACAAAATTACGTACATCAAAGACCCAATACTGTTTTAATATAAAAAAAAAAGAAAAAGACCCCATGCTGTTTTAAGCATTCCAAGAAGTAAAATATGTCACAATCGTAACCAGAAAATGTTGCACGCCTAAAGCGCTCCTATTCATACTTGTCCTGATCACAATTTGGATGAACCACTAGATAGAGCAACACCAACTAATTCTCTTCTCAAAATTTTACCAGCTGGAGACTTTGGGATAGAGTTAATAAACGAAACACGTCGAATCTTCTTGTACGGTGCAACCTGCAACCATAAGCATACTTAAAGCAACAAGGCAAGAGACAAAGTCAATTGTATAAATGATGGTTCGGAGGAGGTTTTATAAGCATTTATTAAGGTCGATCAAAAACAGAAATTTGAGATCATTTAAGGGTGAAAAAATGCTCATGGTTCTTCCCCTATACATTATATGTTAAAAGCATCCACAGAAGAGTTGTTAGTCTAATGATATTTTAAACTCTACGATTTAACCTGCCCAGAGGATAGTGAATTCTATTTATAAGAATTGCAACTCAAATCTGAAATCAGATTAGTCAGGCTCTTTAGGGCTTTGGTTGGTATGTTAAAAAAAGAAGAAGCATAGTTCAAATAATAAAATTGATTCCATCCTTGCTGTAGAATCCAAGAATACGAGCGAATAATAAGTTGAGTTGAGCAATGGCAAGACAGAATAGATGATTCATTCACCAAAAATAAACATTTTAGAATACAAGGTTTCGGAAGCATACCTGCTTTGCTACAAACTCCATGACCTGAGCTGCAGTGATGTTGCTTCCAGGCTTTCGTACTACAAAGGCCATTGGAATCTGTCCTGCATCTTCATCAGGATACCTGTCAAAAAAGATTAGCAGACTTAGTGAACTTTTTTATATGATGATGTCTTGCATGTTAAACCAAGCGAATTACAGCAACATATTTTTCTTTTGGACCAACAAGATACAATAACTAACAGTTTAAAAGCAAGAAAACTTTGGTTATTGAAAACAACTTCAGATTTGCTTTCAAACACACACAGAGGATTAAAGCATTGAATACATACGGAATTACTGCAGCATCAGCAATCTCAGGATTGGTGTGAAGTATATGTTCCAATTCAGCTGGGGGAACCTGGATGTTGTTTGAAAAACAATGAGAAAAATGTAAAAGTAGCAAAATGGTATCCACAAAAACACATTACCTGATAAGCTTTGTATTTGATCAATTCCTTGAGTCTATCTACAATGAAGAGGAAACCATCAGAGTCAAAATAACAAAGATCGCCAGTCTTCAACCATCCCTCTGAATCCAATGTTTCAACAGTCGCCTTGTCATCTCCTACATAACCTGCACTGGCACCGTAACCATCACACACCATTTATGAAACATATGTAATACATAAGAGAGATAATTAGATATCTCTAGCAATATGAACTGCGTTTGGTCAAAAAATTCATCAAGTAAAGTCTTTTTTGAGTCTTAATAAAAAATATGGTCTTCATTTTCGTCCCTTACAAAAAAAAATCAACTTTTGATCACTCTACAATTCCAGTTCTTTGAAAATGTGGTCAATTAGAAATTCAATGAAGATCCATTTTAGTCCCTAAAAAAGAACTAATATGAATATTTTTTTTTGTAAGGGACCAAAGTGAGGACTGTGTTTTTTGTTAGAGACCCAAAATGGACTTTACCCAAAATTCATCCATCTAGTATGACTTAAACGAAAATTGATGTCATTTATTAGGAATCATGATGATATCAGAATTGTTAGAGAATAATATAAATCATTAAAAAAACTATTATCCAACATTTAAAGTTTTGGGTTGAAATAGTTTTTTATATGGTATCAGAGCTTCACTGACCACAAGATGACGAGTTCGATCCTCACCATTCCAATTTGTGAAATTAAATAAGCATAAGGTAAACAAAAAAAAAATGCTTCAAGCCTAAAGTGCTCTTGTACGAGGGGTTGTGTTAGAAAATAATTATTATTAAAAATGGCATCACCCAACACCTTAAAATTTTAGATTGAAATGGTTTTTTTACAAAAATCTTGGGTGTTTTTATTAGAGCTGTCAAAAAGGGCTCAAGCCCTAGGGCCAGCCCTATAAAATTTTAGCCCTCTATGTAATGGGGCCATTTTAAGCCCATCCTTTTAAAGCCTCTCATTATAGGGTTAGGTTGGGGCTGGCCCGCGGGCTACAATATTCAACCCAATTTACAACGAAAAATTTCATCAAAAGTTTTGACGGAAAAAAGAATTCCTTCAAAAATTTTGACGGAATATTTTCCGTCCAAAATCTTCGATGAAAATGTGACCCAATGAAAATTACAACGGAAATATTTTTTTTCAAAATTTTTGAGGGAAATGTATCTGTGAAACTTTCGACGGAATTTAGATTTCGTAAAGATTTTTGACAAAATATTTTTTTTCGTTGAAATTTTTTACAGAAATATTTTCGTCAAAGTTTTTTACAGAAATAATTTTCGTGGGAAATTTTTAACAAAAATGTGTTTCGTTTAAAATTTTGAAAGAAATATCTTTTATCGAAAAAAAATTCAAAAATATTTTTCGTCAAATTTTTTTGACGGAAATGTGTTTCGTCAAAAATTTTGACAAAAACTTTTTTCATCAAAAATTTCGACGTAAATTTTTGTGTCAAAAATCTTGACAGAAATTTTTTCGTCAATAATTTCGACTGAAATTTTTTTCGTCAAAAATTTCAACAAAAACTTTTTTCGTCAAAAATTTCAACAAAAACTTTTTCCGTCAACGTCAAAATTTCAACAAAAACTTTTTTCGTCAAAAATTTCGACGGAAATTTTTTCGTCAAAAATATTTACGGAATTTAGATTCTGTAAAGAATTTTGACGAATTTTTTTTTTCGTCAATTTTTTTACAGAAACGTTTTCTGTCAAAACATTTTACGAAAAATTTCTATGCAATAATTTTTTTAAAAAGTGACAATTTTCTAAAAAATATTTATTTTTATTTTTTCTAATAATTTCTATGCACCATTTTATTATAAATATTTTTTTAAAAAATACATATTATTTTTTTAGAAGGCCCGCGGGCTGGCCCTAACCCATAGGGCTTTGGCCCGTGTGGATCTATATCATTGTGGGCTTTTTGGCCCTGCGAGCTTTTTGGCCCTAACCCACTTGGGTTAAGGCTAAATGGGCCAGGTTGGCCCGTTTTGACAGCTCTAGTTTTTATGCACTTCTTAAGTGCCTAAAGAAGCCTTCCAGCACACCTCTCAATTTTTATTTCGAATTTTTAAATAGACTAGTGTTGCTAAGGTGTTAGCACATTTTCAAAAAATAAAGGATATAACTAATCACCTTTCATGATTGTTGGACCTCTCAACCATAGCTCTCCTTTGTGGCCAGTTGATAACGCCTCTCCAGTAACAGGGTCCACTATCTTGGCCTCCATATTTTCTGCTAGTCGACCCACAGAACCATGGCGCTTAGCCTCATCAGGCCCTACCATTCTCGCTGCTCCTCCTCCACTTTCTGTCAGACCATAGCCCTAGTGGAAAAAATAATAATAATGAATCAAACAAAACCACAAAAGAAGAAGAAGGATAAAGCAAGTTAGACCAAGTTCTTGAGTGCAAGACCACAAATATTGATATTATTATGTGTTATCTAACTTGATAATAGAATTTTAACCATTAATAAACAAACCCACAATAATAATTTTGTAACTTCCTATTCTAATGTTAGTATACTCCCCAGCCTTGTATTTTTGGCAAACAAAGAAACTGCTTTTTGTAAAAAAAAAAAGAAAAAAAAAAGAGATGTTATATTTATTATCTTTTTTTTCTTATTACCTCTTACTATTAAGTCTTAACCATTGATTTCCGTCTAACAGTTGTAATTTATTGGATCACACTTATTAATTAATTATTAATTTTTAATAAATTATAATCGTTAGATTGATGGAAATCAACGGTTAAAATTTGATAGAAAGAAGTAGTAAAAAAAAAAATAAGTATAACCTCCCCTCAAACAAAATGTTTTTTATTTTATTTCAACTAAGCCAAAAAAAGACAAAATATTTTTGTTTCCCAAAAATTTATTTTCACCAAATACATTTTTGGGAAAGGGTGAAGAATTTTAAATGTGATTAAGTCCCAACTCGGGGCCAGTAGTGGTGAGGGACGTGGATAATTGTGTTAGGTGGTATGTGTTCTAGTCCTTCCTCATGTATCCCAAAAAAAAATCTCAACTTGGGATTAGTCTCGCAGTCGGTTCAAAAAGTTGAAACTTGTGAAAATACAAAATACGACTCGCCTTAAAGAGATAATTAGAGTCAATATACCTACAAATTGCTTCAATATTATTATTATCCCAATCTCAATTTTATTTTCTTTCACTTTTCATTTTAAAATTCTTATATATAAATATAATTTTTAATTTTAACACTCAAATAACTATGTAATTAAGAGTGATATTAAATATTCATTCAAAATATAAAATAATTTTAACTTAAAATAAGGTATTAGCAATATGGAATAAGCAAATAGAATTTAGAACATAAATTATTCGGGTTCATTAACTTTAAAATTAGTCAAAAACCAAGATTAGCCGTGATAACACCAAACTTTAAACAATCCAATAACACATGACAACATAAAAATGGGAACTGTGACCAATGTGTCACATTTTTAATATTTATATATCAAATTGCAACGCGAACAATAAATTTATCAGAATGTCACACGTTGAAGTTCGTTACGACTAGTAGCGAATTTGATAACCAATGATTTCTTGACACATGACACACTTTTGCAGGAAAAGTTGACTGTCACGTGTCCAAGTTCGCTATGACTGGTAGCGAACTTGGTCAATGATTTCGTGACACGTGACACATTTTCGAAGAAAAAAGCTGACTGGACTAAGTTCGCTATCAGGGGTAGCGAATTCGGTGCGCTATATGGCACAACAATCTTGTTGCCCGATCAGAATTAATGTACCAATCACAATAAAAAAAAAAGAAAACGAAGGAAAAAGAGCTATTTAATTAATGTACCAATCACAATTAAATTTAATTGGTACATTAATTGTTTGTGATACCATTGTTACAAATTCGAACGATGTTTCTGAAAGATAAAATATGTCAAATGAGATGTCATTGCGTAGAACTTGAAAAATTATGTGAAATAAAATAAAAAATCATCTGATTTGAATATCCGAATCAAAAGTTATAGCCTTCCAAAGTGATAGGTACATTAATTGTGATTGGTAATTAGTACATTAATTGTGATTGGTATATTAATTAATAGCCCTTTTTCCTTCGTTTTTTTATTGTGATTGGTACATTAATTCCGATTGCGCAATGAGATTGTGCCATATAGCGCACTAAGTTCGTTATCCCCGATAGCGAACTTCGTCCAAACAACTTTTCCTGTGAAAGTGTGCCACGTGGCACGAAATCATTGGCTATCAAGTTCGCTACTGGTCGTAGCAAACTTGGACATGTGGCAATTAGCTTTTCCTGCGAAAGTTTATCACATGTCATGACATCATTGACTATCAAATTTACTACCAGTCATAACGAACTTCAACGCATGGCAGTCTAATAAAAAAAAATGTTCGCATGCAGATTGGTAAAAAATTGTCAGAAAAGGTAACAATTTGGTCATTGTTCCATCGAAAAGACAAATAATAATAAAAATAAGGAAAAACGTTTATCAGTACGTCATTTTGATATATATATATATATATATATATATATATATATATATATATATATATATATATAGGGATAGGATCAACTTACACCGGTGTAAGAATAATAAATCTTACACCAAATCTTAACCGTTGATTTCCGTGCATCTAACGGTTGAGATTTATTGGGAATTAAAAATTAATTAACGAGTGAGACCTAATAAATCTTAACCGTTAGATGCAAAAAATCAATGGTTAAGATTTGGTGTAAGAGTTATTATTCTTACACCGGTGTAAGATGATCCTGCCCCATATATATATATATATATATATATATATATAGGGTTTTATAAGAGTTATGTTGTAGGAAAAGTGATTGTGTAATGTTATAGAGATTCGTTTTGCGTGCCGTAGTTTTTTTTTTGTTTCAAAAAGTGTGGCCCCCACAAAATGTTGTGTGTGTAGGAAACTTTGTTGTGTCATGTTAAATGATAAATGCAAACCCCATATATATATATATGGGACATGATATTCTTACTCAGGTGTAAGAGTTAAAAGTCTTACACTCAATCTTGACTATTTATCCACTTGTATCCAATGACTCACATTACTAAAAAATTTGAACCCTTAGATATAAGTGGGGTCAGCGGACAAGATTGAGAGTGTAACTTACACTGGTGTAAAATGATCCTAATCCTATATATATATATATATTTTCATGACATTTTATAATTTTATTTTATGAAATTAAGAAGAGAGAGAATTAAAGGAGAAAATATAAAAATCACCAATTATATATAAAATAAGGGAAAAGATATTGTAACAACTAAGTTGTGTTACTACCATGTTACTACCAATCAATCTCACCGTTAGATCGATTATGTTTATATTTATTTCTATCTTTGTATGGTTACGATTCCTTATACTTAAAGTGAAAGCATTAAATATAAGAAATCATAACCATACAAAGGTGAAAATAAATATAAAGTATTAAATTTGAAAAATCATTACCATACAAAGATGAAAATAAATATAATCGTTCAATCAACATAATCAATGTAACGGTGAGATTGATTAGTAGTAACACAACTTAGTTGTTACAATATCATTCCCCGTAAAATAATACCCTTTCTTTTAAAATTACAAAATAAAATAAAAATTAAAAATAATAATAATAATAATAATTTTAGAACATAAATTATGTTGCGCCCATTAACTTTGAAAATGGTCAAAAACCAAGGTTACCCGTGATAACAGCAAACATTAAACAACACAATAAGTTATGTTATGACCAACATCAAAAGGAGCAATAATTAATAATAATAACTTTGTCACCTGCACAATTTCAACGTTAGGGAATTTGGCATTGAAGTTCTCCGCCACCTCCTTACCGAGCGGCGCGCCACCGCTCCCCAACAACCGGAGCGAGCTAAGGTCATACTTGTTCACTAACTCAGACTTAGCGAGCGCCACCACGAGTGGCGGCGACACCGGCATGTAGCTGATCCTGTACCTCTCGACGGCCTTCAACATCACTTCAAAATCGAACCTCTGCATCAACACCAAGGTCTCCCCCATGGCTATGGCCCTAAACAGCATGAAGAACCCAAACACGTGGAAAAGGGGGAGCGTGAACAGCGACACCGATTGCGGTTCATCTGTCTCCACCAAGTGCTTCAGGTGGAAAAATCCTCCAATCAGCGCGATGAAGTTCCCGTGAGTGAGCAACACGCCCTTCACTCGCCCGGTGGTGCCGGAAGAGAAGAGAATCGCCGCCGAGTCAGACTGACTCACTTCAACTCGGCGAGGCTGCGATTCACCATCGAGCATGGAAAGGAACTGGGGCGAGTCGAGGAGGATGGTCCCGAATTGGAGGGAGGGAATGTTGGGCGCGGTGGATGACGTGGCGAAGGCGATAGCGGGTTTGGTGAGTCGAACCTGGTGAGTCAACTCGGTGGGAGAACTGAGCGGGTTAGCGGGTGAGATTGTGACGCCAAGGGAGAGTAGGGAAAAGTAGAGTACGGGCACGTGTAGGGAAGTAGGGGTGAGGATGAATGCCACGTGGCCCTTGGAGAGAGGGGTAAGGGATTGTAGGGAGGAGGCGAGGGATTTGACTTGGCGGATGAATAGGGAGTAGGAGAGGTGGCGGTCGGTGGCGGAGTCAATGAGAACGGTGGTGGTGGCGGCGGCGGTGGGGATGAGAGAGAGGACGTAGTCGGTTAGGGAGAGCGGTTGAGAGGGTGGAGGGAGTGGGACGTTTGGACGGAGGCTGTGGAAGGTTCTGGAATGAGAGCAGAAACCGCTGTTTGGATCGATGCTAGTGTTAGGGTGAGACTGTGTTTGAGTTTGGTTGGCCATTATCGGAGTTTGGTTTGGAATAGTGTGATATTCAATTACTGGCTATTGCCTACTCAACCAGACAGACACTGTCTTTTCAAGCATAATAATACACACATTATTTGACGCCACATTATACACTAGTGATTATAGTATCCGCACTCAGAGATTGGATTGAATTACTATCCATATAAAGACACGACTTTATATGAAAAATATTATTTTCTTATTTTATAAGATTGTGATTGTTTATTTTTTTTTTTTGAAAAAATGTGTATATTTGTAAAGGACATAAATTTAGGTCTTTTTAGAAGAGATAGACACAAAAATATGTGGATCAGTCTCATCTCTTTGTGCCTATCTTTCTTAAAAAGATTTAAGTTTGTATTTTTTAAAATGACACATATTTTTCTCTTATTTTTTTTAAGTTTTGTAAATTAATTTAATTTAAACACTTTTTTTTTATTAAATATATTAGTAACCTTGATGGTTCTGATCATATAAGATGGAATATTCCTGGGCACCGGGAAATCTCGGTTAAGGGTATTTACAAGCTGTTAGCTGGGCAAGCTGTTGGGATTTCAATGAACTCATAAATTTGGAGTTCCATTTGGGAATGGAAGGGACCACATAAAATATAATTATTTATGTGGAAAGTAGCTCATGGTAGATTGTTAACAAATATGAGGCTGAGTCATCTGCATACGGAGGATCCTCTTTGTTGTTTATGTCTTGTGGAAGCAGAGTCATCTCTTCATGCTCTAAGGGATTGCATTTGTATTAGAAATCTTTGGCATAAATTGGAAGCTCAGAAATATTGCCATAATTTTTTTAGTTTAGATGATCAGAGCTGGCTTTTATCCAATCTTCGGGTGGATATAGTAGATGGCAGGAGTGTACCTTGGCACATTACTTAGCAGTAACGATTTGGCTAGCTTGGAAGTGGAGAAATGATAAGAAACATGGTAGTCAATGTCTCCATAATGCTTATAATCAGCATATTGTTGATAGTCAAACAATTGAAATTTGGGTTATCACAAAGAAAAAAGCAACTAGTGTGTCTTGCACAAGAAAGGAGGAGGTTCCAATTGCATGGAAATATCCGGAGGTTGGCTGGGTAAAACTTAAAACTGATGGAGCTGCCAAAGGTAACCCAGGGCTGGCTGCATGTGGGGGAGTTTTAAGAGATAGTACTGGTCAATGGCTAACTGGTTTCTCCTATCGAGTTGGCCATTGTAGTGCTATTACGGCGGAGTTATGGGGCATTTTAAAAGGAATTCAAATGGCCATTGTAGTGCTGTCACAAAGGAAAATGGTTGGAGAAAGTTAGTAATAGAAAATGACTCTTTAACAGCAGTCACGTGGCTTACTGCAAAGGGTGAGCCAGCCTGTGAGTCTCATATTGTTACTCGTATACAGACATGGATGGATAGAGAGTGGTCAGTGAAAATAAAACACACGTATAGAGAAAGAAACTGTTGTGCGAATTGGCTGTCAAACTTTTCTTTGGTGAATCCTAATCAAGAGGACTTTTGTATTTCCTATCTCCCCCTCATGGTATTTTCTTTTTGTATTTATCTGATTTAGGTGGTTTTGGTAAAACTCGTTGTATTTGTCCTTTTTAGCCTGTTTTTGGGGTGTGTTTTTCCCTTTCAGGATACCAAAAAAAAAATTATGTTTTACTAAATTTATCTTAAATATGCAAATTAATTGTTACTCGATTAATAGCAAATTCATTGAACTAGTATTTATAATGTTTAATTTTTAATTTTTTCTTAAAGCACATTGAATCTAAAAAAAATAAAAAAACATAGAGCTAGTTCTCTAATAAGTATATGATTTTTATCATTATTGGTATAGAACTATGAAGTAACAATAGAGTATTAGTTTTGTACTTTATCTTTTCTATTCAAAAAAAAATTGAGAAAATAAATGAAAATTTAAGTAAATAAAAAGACAATAAATACTTCCAAAATTAAAATAAAAAATTATAAGCACAACATTACGTGTAGTTTTGACTTCAATCAATAAAGCAGTTAACCGTCTATTACGTCGGGGATTTTGAACACCGATATGATGATATAATCCGTCTCGTGATTGGTGCACATCTTTCTCCCCTATTTGAGCTCGTGTTACTGTTTTTTTTTTCTTTTGAACGTATCTTGGTCGGGATATACAAGTGTTCATGATATTCTCGTTAAAAAAATTGGGAGTGAATTTTTTCATGTTAAAAAAGACATTGTTTTGTCTGAAAGACAGAGATGTCTAGCCGGTGGCTGGTATATTTTATGTAAGATCTAGGTGCTCTCTCAGGTATCTATGAATGAAATATCCTTGAGGGTAAGCTGATCACTGTGCACAATAATAATTGACATAGTCAATGCGTGGGGTGTGTGCACAATGACAAGCTAAGAGAGAGAGGGTTTAGAGAGTGTGTGTGTGTACCTTATTGGTTTAACCCCTTATTTATATATGGGTTACCTGAAGGAGTGTACTTCTGGGCCTCTTAGGAATATTGGGGGCCCAAGTCCAACTGCTTAGCTGTCTGGATAAGATTGTTATTAATAGAAGATTTTCCTTCCTTTTGTGCTGTCCTTTATTAGTCCTTCTAGAATATGGGCCTTTTGTCAGGTCCATAACAGTTGCCCCCCAGCCCGGTAGTTTGGTTGTCCAGGTTGCCGGGATGTAATAACAGTAATCTCTTCATTTTATTTCGCAAGTCTGATTTCTTATCAAAACTTGGATGTGTTGCTTTCTTAGCAATAATTTTGATTTCTTCGCAAGAACTTGCGAATCTAAGGGCGTCCCCTATCTTCCGAGATTACTTACCTCGGCTAGAACTCACGTTCTTGCTATTTTTGCAAGACGGGTTCAAATACCTCGGTTTGATGCCTTGGCTAGAACTCACGTTCTTGCTATTTTTGCAAGACAGGTTCAAATACCTCAGTTTGATGCCTCGGCTAGAACTCACGTTCTTGCTCGTTTTGGCAAGACGGGTTCAAATACCTGGTTTGATGCCTCGGCTAGAACTCTCAATCTTGCTCGTTTTGGCAAGACGGGTTCAAATAGGTTTGATGCCTCGGCTAGAACTCTCAATCTTGCTCGTTTTGGCAAGACGGGTTCAAATACCTCGGTTTGATGCCTCGGCTAGAACTCCCAATCTTGCTCATTTTGGCAAGACGAGTTCAAATACCTCGGTTTGATGCCTGGCTAGAACTCTCAATCTTGCTCGTTTTGGCAAGACGGGTTCAACTACCTCGGCTTTGTGCCTGACTAGAACTCTCAATCTTGCTCGTTTTGGCAAGACGGGTTCAACTACCTCGACATTTTTGGGCCGGGCTAGAACTCGTGATCCTGCCCTTGGACAAGACGGGTTCAAATACCTCGACGTTTTGGCCGAGCTAGAACTCGCGATCCTGCCCTTGGGCAAGACGGGTTCAAATACCTCGACATTTTGGGCCGGGCTAGAACTCGCGATCCTACCCTTGGGCAAGAGGGGTTCAAAAACCTCGACGTTTTGGCCGGGCTAGAACTCGTGATCCTGCCCTTGGGCAAGACGGGTTCAAATACTTCGACGTTTTTGGTCGGGCTAGAACTCGCGATCCTGCCCTTGGGCAAGATGGGTTCAAATACCTCGACGTTTTTGGCCGGGCTAGAACTCGCGATCCTGCCCTTGGTCAAGACGGGTTCAAATACCTCGACGTTTCTTAATATTTAACTCGGCTTCTTGCCAGAGTTTCATTTACCCTAGATTTTTATCCTAGGTCTTTATCGCAGATTGGGGTGTGATCCTTTCTCTAGGTCCATATCTCTCCAAACCCGTCTTCATTCTTAATAAGCCATTTATATTCCGGTGGGCCGGTCTTCATTTTGACTCTTTCTTCACAACCTACAAAAGTGAAATGTCAACATTTTGATTTTAAGTTTAGGCTGGTAGTATCCGCCTTTTTTCTCGAGCCCAGCTTCTCTTGCATCGGCTCTTCTTTCAGCTTGGCTTCTTTTGCCCAAGTCTTGTATTCATCTAGGTGGATTTCCTTCCTTATTTGAGTGGATCCGGATATCTTTCCTTTTTAAAGGGGATCTCCATACGACCTGTTTAATTATTCCTTACATCACAGTATGAAGAAGATAATTAGCAATAATTTTGGTTCAATCATCAATCAATAATTATCCCGTTGCAATCAGCAATCAATGATAATTCAATCAGCAAATTATATTTGACCATATTTTATGCTATATGATCTGATTGAGCACCCATCATAAAGCTCCATGCTCTCCCGTTTTCTTGATTCTCATTTATGCTTTGTGAACATAGGGAACGAGACTTCATGGTGAAACCTAATGCTCCTTTTTCCATGATAATATTTAAATTATCTACCGACCTGCTTTTGCCGACATATAATACTAAACACATGCATAACAAAGTTGACCAACTTTCAAGATTATATATTTTGCATATAAGCATCGTATAAGAATTTGGTCCAGCAAGAAGTCATATAAAATCATGATAATAATTTCTGGGATATAAAAGTAAGGAACAAAATATTTCCCTGTTATTTTATAACCATCCTGCTTGCAATAGAGGACGATTCCTGCAGTGGGAGTAAGATAAACCAGCTCTGGTCTTTTTAATTTAAGCTCATTGGCATGGTTCCAGCATGTTATTCTTGCCTATTGAAATCTGATCCTGGCTCTGGTTTTGATGTCGAACTGCCATATTTATTGAAGTCTGATCCCAGCTTTGATAATGACTTGGCTGAGATGCGTATTGTTGGATGTTAGCAGAGATGCCAACTGAAGTCGGCTTTGAATTTTAATCCAACTCCTCTACTTCCTGCATGTTGATTATTCATCTTTTACTTGGGAAAATTGTCAGTGGTCATACGCATAATTTCCATAAGTATATTATCCATGTGAGTGGCTTGTGCGACTATGAGATGTCATATTATGATAATAAGTGAATTAGCATAAGAGAAATTATATCCTTATCTGGATTATATTTCTGGCCGTCCACCGAGCTTGCTGTAATCATGCCTGAGAAATGGTCCTCAACCGGGTTCCCACACCCTCTGAGAAATGACCCAGTTACCAAAGGGACCTGGGTTTATCCGGCCTTGATGAAATTCAGGTAATCCGGGTTGTTTTTG